CTCTGCCATGTGCTTAACCACTGCAACTAAATGAACGGTCTTTTCTGTTGTCACAAGCTCAGCAGAATGACATTACAGCTTCCATAGCGTCTGCAGCAGTGACCATATTACAAACATGTAATATCCGGCATGATCAGGAGGTGTGAAAACTGGCAAGCCATAACGTTTGGCAAAGGTATCAGTTCAAATGACCAAACTCTATTGTCAAATATCCTCTACTTTGCTGTGTCAGCTCCAGAGCAGCATAACGGATAAGGGAATCAGGACAGGCTGGAATCAAAGCCCCAGTAAAGGCACATAGCATTTATGTGGGTATCCCTCAGGCAGTGTCTGGGCGATCCTGTGTTATATGTGGTGCGCACAAAATAAAAAGATTGTGCAATTCAGCTTTGTTTCTTTTGCAATTGTCTTGATCTATCATGTTTGTAGTGTGGTTGTAGCCATGTCGGTGGTCCCAGAATATGAGAGACGCAAGGTGCGTGAGGTAGTATCTTTTGTTGGACCAAATTCTGTTGGTGAAAGAGATACACTTTTAAGGTCTGCAGAGCTCTTGTTCACATATGGAAAAGATGCTGGGAGGCACTCTGATTACCTTTCCCAGACCTGAAGAGGAGCTCTGTGGAGCTCAAAAGCTTGTCTCTTTCACCAACAGAAGTTGGTCCAACAAGATATTGCCTCACCCATCTTGTCTCGCCCTCTTAATCTACCATGTTAGATTCCAATTTGCTGCATCATATAACAAACAGCACGTATGTTCCATCCAGTGGCGGAAACAACAGCTGAGTGGGTTTACATTAGATCTAATCAGGTTAATACTGTGTGTTTGTTTAGAGGATCTGGTATCTTGCTGCAATAGGCTGAGTACAAAAACCTCAAGGCCATTAATCGTAAACATATGACAAAACTTCCCCTTTACACTTCACTTTATTTGCGTTTTTAGGTGCAATGTTTCTGACAAACTTTTAAAAAATCAAGTAGCTTTAAGAAAAAATTTCTGCCCTGATCCTCTTACTGGTGCTATGATGATGGACCCGCAGTAGAGGATAATTGGGTTAGACAGGAGCACAGATCCACCCTGATGGAACAGGCTTCAGGAATAGGGTGCTAGTTTGTAACTCCTAGTTTACAAATGTTCTCCCCTTACCCAATCTGCAAAGCAATTGAGAAATCCCTCCCTCCCATCTTTATGCAGCGATGGGCTTGGCTTTGTCTGTTGCCCGTTTATAACAATAAATAAGAGCCATTTGTCCCATAGCTAGCCCATCGTGTGGAAGAGAAATTCACCCTGAGGCAGAGAGCATGTGCATGACCATCTGCCTTGCTGAAAGCTTTAACAAGTAAGATGTGGGGGCTTCATCACCCTCTGCTGTGGGGTGAACTTAACCTTTGTTAAATGGAGTGAATAAAAGCAGATGCAAACCTAGTGTGTGGGTCTAGACCTCTGCCCCCCCAATGGCATGATGATGGCTGTGCCACACTCCAGCTGTGTGGGTGCAGCTAAACTCTAGTCAATCCTGCCATTATTTGTACAGCTCCTAGTACGATGGGGTCCCGGGCCAAGCTCGGGGGGTGGGAGGGTCCTGTGGGCTACCACAGGACCTGTGGGGTGGGCCGTCATTACGCACGGCTCATGAGACGCCTAATGGTCTCGGACACTATCCGTTGGTCCCGGGACATTTACATCGAGCACATCACCGGCCACCGCCAATACCGAGAGTGAGCCGGGGAGACCTCGTGCACCCACACCCCCCCCCCTGCTGGACCCTATCCCGAGCCCTAAAC